TGTAAACTATTGTATAGTTTTACATATAAATAACATACCTGGTTATGTAAGAAAGCAATATTGGACTGTGTCATTTTGATCATATTGCACTGCAAATAATCAATGTTAATTAGGTCTGGTTTGCTAATTCAGATGTGATGATTTGATAACTGGAGAACAGAGGAAACTTGGAACACCATCCTGAGAGCTACAAAAACATTAATATATACAGTAACTGAGAATGTGCGGATGGAGAAGTTCAAAAAGCTCTCCAGTCTGGAGAGTGAGCAGTGCCAAACAGCTTTCGGTACTGCCAGTAAAGATGTTTCTTCCTTTTGCAGTCCAGCATTATCACTATGACATTTACCAGAAGGACCATGTGCACAACATTCTCCTGCATCCTGCATGAATTGGTATTTACAGAGTAGTATTAAGCTCTTCCTGACTTTCCTCTGAAAATTGTATTGGTTTGAATGTATAATTTTCTATAAGAGGACCTTCTAGCCTGAATTGCCATGGTAATGTCTGGCCCACAAAAATACATTCCTGATACCAGAATCCTAAATTGCAGGAACGGGTACCTCGCCTCACACACAAGAAGAAACACGTTTCCTTGCAAATCCCAAGCCTGACTTTTTTTTTTTTACAGTACAGTAGAAATAATTGATTGTTACTGGAGAATTACTTAAAGGGCTAGTTGAAGCTGCACAACATTTAATAGCATAAACCCATCTTAACATGTTTAGCTTTTCCTGACAGATGCTCTGTAAAAGAAGCAACAAATTCAATAATCTTGACTCTGTGAAACAGGAGGCGGAGGCTATCTGGCACACTCAGATTATTGACTTCAAGTACAGTACATTTGCGAACTTGTCAAAGCAATTGGTAAGATGAAAGCATGGCTACAGAATATTCACAGCATGTTCTGTCTGGATGCAGATATACACTAACATGCACAGTTCACTTTGAAAATGAAGTAGCAACTTTTTATCAGGTTTTTAAGACAGAAGACGTTTGAAAATTCTACCACAGGTGCAAAATAAATGCAGCATCCTAAACTATGGTAAACTGTTGGTATGGTAAAATGTACTGTAGCTCTAACAAAATGTCCTGCTTATATGCCTTAAACAAATCATTATATCACAGAGGACACCATGTTGGCACAGTGGTTAGCACTGCTACCTCACAGCGCTGTGGCCTACATGTAGGGTTCAATTCCTGGTGTATCTGTGTGGAGTTTGTATGTTCTCCCGTGTGTTTGTGTGGGTTTCCTCTAGGTGCTTTGGTTTCTTTTCAAAGTCCAAACACAAGTTGGTGGGTTAATTTGCTTCTGGTAAAACTGCCCCTGGTGTAAGTGTGTGTGGGTCTGTGTCTGCCCTGCTGTGGACTGGCGCCCCATCCACAGTGTACCCTGCCTTATACCCGTTGCCTGCCAGGATAGGCTCTGGATTCTCCATGACCCTGTAATGGATTAAGCGAATAGAAAACAGATGGATGGATTAAAGTATAGACTCATAGATTTCATGTCTTCCAGAATAGTCTAGTATTTGAATGATTAATAATGTAATGCCACAATGTAGGAAAAACTTTAACTGTTGTGAACTGCAATGTTTGTGTTGGATATGTCTTCTCTCTCTGACTGACCAGATGGAAGTTGTATAACTTTTCTATTGCAACACAAACTTTAGACAGCCACACTATTAACAAAGTTTATATGAAAAAAAATGAACTTCCTATTTATACTGTATAAGACACGTGTTGATTTGTTTCATGCCATATGGCATGCAAAGATTAAACTGACAAAAAAAGTGTTCTTCACCATGTATCTGCAATTAACTGCAGATGCTGATTAATTATCCTCATATTAATTTATTCTGCTTAACAAAAGAGGATCCCTCACTGCTAGAACCTGACTTTTGTTCACGATATACTGTACAGTAAGGTATCTGAAATCAATTTACTGCAGGCAAAGGAATTTCACATGTATATTTTTTAAAAACCTATTTTCAAATCAAAAGAAAATAAATGGATTGGCTGCTCAGACATTAAACATTATTATAAGGTGAAGGATATTTAATTCATTACTTTATGTCCCTCAAAATAGCAAAATGCTACAGTATTTAGGTCACATAGAATAATAATATAAAATCAAATATTATTTTAATTATACTGTAATATATTGTACAATATAATTTATATAGTACATATAAAACTATGTACTGTACTGCATTTAAATAACCAGAAAGCATTTTCAAAAAGAGAAGATGGAGCTTTGATAACAGATGTACTGTACTGTATGTGAGCATTTAAACTATAAAAAAGAAATTTTATTTTCTTATAAAAATAAATTTCTATACGTATCCCTGTGCTATGCACATCTTTGTCTTAAATGCAATGGAAAAACAAAATATCTCTACATCTACTTGAGATGCAACCTGAGAAAGATCTGGTAGTTTAATTTTTGATTGAGGTACAGTATACATGAAAAATGATACCATAAAAATAATTTGCTACAGCATACACTATACTTAATTTTACATATATTCCATCTTCGATTTATTGTATAAAGTAAAAAAAAAAAACTAATTTTCAGACCTGTCCTCAAAGAATGAGACATTATGTGACTTGACAGGCTGATCTGAACAAGAGAGTGTGAGCTATTCATTTCTTAGTCGCTGTATGGTTGACCATGATAGCATGGTCTGACTTTGTGAATCAATTTGTGGCTTAAAGCACTTTGCTAATATAGTGTACACTGTATTTTTAAAGTAAGAAATAAAGTAATGACTCTTAAATATAAACATTTTAGCTTCAGAATGTGGTGTAGAACAAACAGCTATTTTTCAAAAATGATCACAAAGTATAACTTTTACCATTTCTTTGATGGGGATGGTGATGTGTAAATGGTTTTCTAGATGGATTTTGTGCATTTTAATATAAAGTCTATGACAATCATAACCAACACTGAAATCTTGATTGTAAAAAGGCCTTTCAAATAATGTCATAATCAAACCCATTATAATCAGTGAGGATTTTTGAAGCAAATGCATTGATATACTGTATTTTATTTTCCACGTGGCCTATATTATCCTAACCCTAAAATAAAAATCAGTTATCTTTCCTTACTTTAAAAATTTGCTACAAAATAAGCTGACTCAGATTGGTTACTGAAATACATCCATGCATTTTGATCAAAGCTGTAAAATCTTGAATGTTGTCTTTCAAAAATATAAAGTTTAAAGTCTTCCACACACAAAATTAACATTTTTTGGCACAGGCTGAAATGCGGTTAGTATGGTATATCCACCCAATAACTGATTATTATGATTTTGTTGCAGTTTAATTTCACATATAATAAGCTTTCATCAAATTAGCTCTTGAAAATCGTTTAGGTATCTGCTGTTCAAACTCATGGGGATTTCTATAATCAAGACCATAACACTGTGTAAACTTGCCTGTTTCTTTGACAGCTCCCAATGGCTACATAAAGTCTAATTGTGAACTTTTTATTATAATTGCTCATTTCGGTGGGGGGAAAAGAACATTATAAAAATGCATCCAAAGGCAGATAATATAAATGAATGTCTTTGGTATATGAATAGTGTGATGCTGCAATTCAAATTTCTGAAGTTGACTGGCATACAGTAATTAATTCAAAATATGTGCTGCATCTAAATGCTTTTGTTTAAAACTGAGGTTAGCTTTAAGTGTGATGGTCAAGCCATAGTGGTCAGTAAGCTAAATCAAAGACATGCCAGCAGAAATATCTGCATACTGTATACAGTACAGTTAGATGGTGGGATGGCAAGAGAGATGCAAAAAATGTGAAAAACCTTTTAAAACCTTTTATAAATAAACTCATGTTTTTGTCATGGCTTGTGGCAGTATGTTCCCCATTTGCTTGTAGGAATGACCATCAAAATGTAACAAGAGTTATTTATAGGAGATATTAAGGAGGATAATTTTTATTTTTAGTCACATTTACCAGTGGTAAAAGAATATATTCACTATATATCTCTACAAAGTCAGTGATTCAGTGACTTAAAGTTTGATGGTTAATCGCACAACTTTACATACGGTAAATTAGCTTGGGTACACAAGGCCCTTAATGTATTTTCTTCTGGTACAGTACACTCACAAATGCATCAATGATGTACAGTATGTACATCAGTCTTCTTCCTCTACCATGAGCTCATACACTAGTCAGATGTTGTCCACGAGACAATAAGACAAGCTAGGAGAGGACCTGATCCAAGTATTCAGTATCTTCAAAGACATTGGCAGAGTCAAACAAGTGGACTGTTTCAGAATTAGTAGTGAAACACTGACCTGAGTACACAAAGTACTTAGGAATGCATTGAAAATTGAGAACAGGAGATGCCTGCTTGTTGTGTGAGTCTGGAACAAGCTACCCAGCTATGTTGTTGTATATTCCACAAACAGTGGGATGAGATGCTTCAATCAATGAGCTACTACTGTAGCTACCAAACAGGCTAGACTGCCTGAATTTCTGTACATAGTTGTGGATTATAGTTTAAACTAATATCAAAAACAATTATACTATTTTAAATCTACTTATTACAATTAAATGACAGAAACATAATTTTTGTATCCAGATAATTCTAAAAAAAATAAAATGTTTGTAGGGCACTGCTATGCTTGCAGTCTATGAACTCCCTACTTTATCACCAAAAATAAAAGCAATAACTGTTTGTTCACAAAGCTCAGCAACATGACAGAATGAGGCCATAATTGATCGAAGAAGAAAGGACATGCTGTATATAAAAGTGTAATTTTAAAGTCAAGACACAAGTACAGGATAGACTGCATTCATAATTCAGTAATGAATAATGAAGAAGTGGCATTTTTAAAACCCACAAGAGGGACGTTTGCTGGTGTAAAAACATTTAATACTTTACAGTATATTTAATTCCATAGTGATAAGAAAAGTGCTGAGTCTACATATCAGAATCTTTAACTTGTAAGAAAGGATATCAATGAAAAACCCTGAAAATAAGAAATGTAGGCAATGGATTACATTTATTCATTCAATGCAGAACTTTAAACAGTAAACTGATTTACTTCCAAGGAAATGATTTTGATTCAATTATTTATCTTCCTGCCTTTACATTGAGAAAAATTTAAGAAACCTGACAGTGCTTTCTTTTTGTTGTACGATCCTGAAGATCGTGGTTTACAGTATAACATTCAAAACAAATCCTTTTGACTTTTTATTTAGATTTATTGTGTTATAAAACATAATTTTGCATTGTAATTATTTTCTTGTCATGTTTTCCGCTGTTTTCAGTTGACATTATATTTTATCCTACTCTACATTTTAATATAATAACATAAGAAAAGATACAACATTTCCTACAGTGTGAATATGAATTGAACTTTGAATCATAAGGTATTCATAGGCTATTCATATGGGTTTCCCTTTTCCTCACAAATGAGTCATAAGTAAAGGGTCTTTCACTACTGAACTAGAAGCATCATATCTGCAGTGAGCGGAACAGACTTCAGGTAGCACTTTGTATATATGTGTATATACAGTATGTACTGTATAAGTGAGCATCTATTAGCATAGAATATTCTAAAATTCAATGTGCTCAGATGAAGCATATTACAAAGATTCACCTTACATTTCTTCCCGTGCGACCTCCCTGTCAGGTGATTTTAATTTCCTGCGTTTGGCCTTCACTTTTCTGTTCCCCTGGTGTGTGCCTTCAGCCTGCCTTGTCGGCTGAGAACTCAGTGATGCCAGCAGCTGCAGGTAGTTTCTGGACCCAGGGTCCAGCAGGGGGGCTCCAGAACAGAAAGCGGTTCCGCTGTTGCCTGGTTCCATCCGCGATCCGCTACTGCTTTGAGGACTGTGGGACTCTGTAGACTTTGATCCGCCACTGCTTGTGTCTTCATCGCCATCCACCAGTGAACCAGGGAGGTTGGAATGGTGTGGGAAAATGAAGGGCTGGTGAGGAAAATAAGCTTCAGGGTTGTACAGAGGCAGGGAAGGATTCTGGATACAGCGCAGGAATTCTGCATTGTGTCTTGTATTTGGAATAGGACCCTGTAAAAAAAACAAAAAAATAACAATTTAAATAAATTAATAAGAAATTTTAATGGTCTTTGATGGTATCATTCTATTATTTTATTCATCCAAAAAACACCTTGCATATTTTTTTATTTGTAGTTTATTCAACTTAACATTTTGATTAGTTGGTATTATTACATTTGGGTTTCTTGTAACTATTTTTCTGACATTTCTTTTTGTCTTTTTGAGATCGAAGGACAAAACTTTGTACTGGCTTCATTAAATTATCACAGGGCCATGCAATTCTGGTCCAGGAGAGCAGTTGAACTCCTGGGTTTTCATTACAACTCAGCTTTCACACAGGTAAATGCTTCTGGACCAATTTAACAGCTTCTCCTAGGTGCTTCTGTTTTATAGAGACCTTGGAAACCTGCAGACACACCAGTCCTCTAAGATTGGACACCCCTGACTTATCACATGTATAAAAGATTTTCAGAAACGTCAGTGTGGTGAACAGGAAGACATTAGACCTGCAGAAGTGCTCAAACTGCCAAATCATGAGTTACATTTGTTGACGGAGCAGTAGACAGTGCTAAATTGTGGCTAACTCAAGTGAGGATATTGCTGCAGTATATCTTCTCTTAGAACAGAGAAGAATTCCCTGAGCCTTACTCTAGGCATGTGTCTCATTCTGTATGTCCAACAGGAATCTTGCTGTCTGACTATTGTTCTAATTGTGGCCAAACATAAAACCATCTAGGAAAGGAATTTTAAACTTACAGTATTACTAGCTAAATAATGAAGTGAGCATTCAGGATTTATAACTCTTCTATCATTTAACAAACCTTTTTAATGTAATGTACTGTATATGTGTTTTTCTCAGTTCCACTACAATATTTGATCTTACTTATTCTGTGAATAATGATGCAGTCCACTTCTTGTTCTTTTTATTTTAAAATATGTGTGGTTTTCAGCATTCCATACTACACAACCACAGCTACATTCTGAGAACATGAAGTAGTGGCCAAGTGCTTTATGAGAACAATTTATTTTTTTTACTAAATCATTCCATCTGAAATAATTCACAATTTCAGCGATTTGGCAGTGCAATCTCAAATTGAGATGCTGTTTAGACAAAATAACTATCCTTTCTGCCATGTAATTGGCATTAATTCCATAAGGTGCCATTCATTGGAATCTCAAACACGTAAACGTTATGTTTTTAATATATATGTTAATTATGCACAGCATTGGTTGAATTGTTTGAATGTGTTAAAGCACAATGACATTATTTATAGCAGCAAATCCCCTGGTTCAAAGGAAGTTACTGGGGAAATTTACTGCAAATGTAACACAACAATACTGTTTTTGCTGTGAGAATTCAAGGCCTAAGTGGAATAGCAGGGATAAATTCTTTTTTTGAAATTAGAGTTTCTATTAACAGAACTGTGGAAGCAACAAGTCTCGAGGCTTCGTCTTCAATACTCAAATGTGTTTCTTTAAGCAGTATTCCTATTTTCTTCAGATTATGACAATAACTAGGCAGCTCTTTTCAATTTGCTAACCTCTTGTGAAATTTCTACAACCTTAACAGAGAAAATTATAATTTCCACCCTAATACATATTTTTAAGTTTAAGTTTAACTTAAGGAGCTGATGTACAGTACACAGAGATATACTTTGCTGTAATGCATTCCACATCACAAAGTCAATCAAAAAAAGCTAACTGAATATTCAACCACCTCAAAATCAAACTAGCTTCTGAAACTGTTTAAAAAAATGTTTTGTCACATAGTTGGAATTGTTACTTTAGCTTTATGAATAAGTGTATTAGGTATGTTATGATACATAGTGTAATGCAGATTGAAAATCACAGAACAGTTGGAAAAAGCTAGAAACATATCGCTGTGAAACATGTTTATGGTAGTATCAGAGGCAACAGTAATACAGCTTGTAAGCACTGAAATTATAAGAATTTATCTCCACTACAGCTCAAGGTCTTTAATTAATTCTAGTGTTAATGAACAAATAAAATGTGTTGCCAAGTTAATTTACTGCAAGAGAAGCAGTAACGTGTATGAGATGTGGTGATTAAAGAAATTTGTTTTAAAAGTTAAAGAAGAGAAAAGTAAAAATGTTTGAAAATAAATAGGCTTTCGAAATGTTCAGCCACCTAATGAAAAATACCTTTATTACATTTGTCTCATTGAGATTATAATCGTATATAATATATTTTCAAAAAATCCTATGTTATGTTACTATTTATAATAATTTAAGATAAGACACTGCTCATTTGAATAAAGTGAAATCTGAAGTACAGCACCAAAATACTGTTTAAATACTGCTGAAATGACGGAGATTGCTTATCATCGTAGTATGACTAAAGTGTCCGGGTGAGAACCAGATAAGAGGTTAATGTCTGCTATTTAATGTGGAACATACTAATAAAATTGAGTAGATAACACATTTCGTAAAACCATACCTTAGTATACCGACAGTTCACTCCTGTACCCAGAGGGCCATCATGTCTTCTCATTTTCATTCTATTCCAGACTCTTAATGACTTGAATTGAATCAATGGTTCACCTAATCTGTCTAGACTACTCCTGGTTCCAGGTCTTACCTCACGGAAGATTATAAATTACGTACAAAGCTGCCCTCCACGACTAAAACTGAATTATCACTCCCTTAGAGACCAGAACAGAAACAAGAGCAGCTGATGTGTACTGTAAGTGCTGGTGAAGACCTTCACTCTAAACCTTAAATTAATCTTCATCATTTACCTTTAAATAGTTTTTATATGTTTCTAAGCTACTGAAATGGCAGTATGTCATACAGTACTAATAATAACACATTCCTTGCATAACTGAAGTGTTGTGGGTAGCCCAGTGGTGCTCAAACCTGAACCTGGCCTTTGTATTATTATTTACAATATTATTTGTATTATATTTTTAAATTAGGTTTCATCTTTTAACATTTAAAATAGGCTATGTAATTGCCGTGAACCTTGTAAACCCTGTACCAATTACAGAACTCCCCTCATTCAGATGAGCTGCCTGCAGTATACTGAAACTAACAACCTTTGGAAAAGGGCAAGCTTTGGGTATTTGTCTCTTTGTCATTACCACCTGTCCCTGTTAATCTTACAACTGATTGCCTATTAAGAACAGTTTTGTTAGAAATAATGGAAAGCCAGTTGACTGTTTGAAGTTACAGTATGTGTGCTGAAGTTGTTGTTGCTGAAACAATATGGTTAATGTGAGGTATTTCTGTAACTCATGAATTAGGGCAGAAACAGGTTAACCAAAAGTCTAAATAAGCAAGCAAATCAATTAAAGGCATCATTTAGCACCAGAGTTTTAGAGCTCAGCTAGAATGATACCCAGCTGACACAGTGGTCCCTCAGGAGCAGGATTTGGTGTAGCAGATATCCCTCTTTATTAATAATGAAGCTCAACAATACAAGACTGTAAAAGTAGGTTTTAAATGTGCTTTCCATGCTTTCATAACATGAGGAGACATTTTGTACCACACCAGATGCTTACTACTGTAACATTGTTTATGCAAACGCATTTTCTGCTACAATGTGTTTAATAAAATAAATCTCTCTAGACCAAACAGTCCTTGAAGATTTATTAAATATTCAGAGCATGTAGTTCTAAGCAAAGAACAAAGGCCACATAATTTGAACTTTAACTCATACTTCACAGGCTGATGCTTCAGTCAGTCTGTGAAGAAAAAGCAATTATTGTACTTGAGCTACCACTGGGAAGAGTCGTATAAAAAAAAGGTCATTGACAAGTCGTTTCATTGAAGAAAAGATTTGTGGTAAGAAATCAATTTTGCTAAAAGCACTGTAATTGTGCCTTCCTGACTGAAAAAGCTTTCAGATGTGGAGGAATACTGACAAGACATTAGCCTCCCGAATCACTAAATCCAGTTTCATCAACAAAACCCAGAATTATTCAAATTTACATTTTCTATTACACAGAAAAGAAAATGTCAAAATAGACTAATGAAACAATATTTAAAAAAATAATAATAAGCCCAGACATATCTAATTTAATTAGCCCTACCTTATCATTATGTACTATACTACTTGTCTTCCACTGACACCTCATATATTGTAGAAACAGCACATCACATAAACCACAATACTGAAATTGAGTCTGACATACAATACCAACTCACTGAGATATGACTTGTTTTTCAGTTTCTTATTCAGCAAACAAATTCTGATTAAAATAAATCAAAGCTTTGAAGAGTTCACAGACACTGTCGGGCCTTACCGTCTGCCATGGATAAGCCAAAGGACCTATATTATTAGCAACATATGAGGAGCTGAGTCTTGGCTCTTTGGCAACATACAATGGATGTGCTCTCATCATTGGGTGTCCAAAGGAATTCTGCAAAATAAATAATTGAACATATTAGATGAGGTTAAAAATACTTGTTTCCAGGTGTAAAAGAAGAATTACCCATCCTTGCACTTAAGTAAGGACTTAGGTTTTCCCACAGGATACACAGAACATGGGTGAAAATAAAATAATTTTGCACATGGTAATTTTGCACATGGATAACTAATATTTCACTTCACAATAAATACTCTACAGTGTGCATCTCTCTTCCAAGTCAGATTTCAATGGTTATAATAATTCAAGAAGTAGATAATTATCAGAAACGCTTGTTGTGGGGGACATCAAACCTGGTTTCATGCTCCAAAGAAGAGAATGAATGTCTGTCAGTCATTTGTCGTTCATCAGAGAGGGGTATTATATGTAACTATTTTTTTTCTAAATATGAACATGTGGTGCCTCGTCTTGGGTAAACTGAGAACAAAACATCTCTGCTAATGAGGAGGAAATAAGAAAGCAGCTTCTGTTTAAATTATGTTTTAAAAGAAGCAAAGCAGAGAGATGACTGCTGAGATTTTAACTCCTTACTTATGAAGATAATGCACAGTACCAAAACTGATCAAACTTTTAAACTCAACTGAATTTCACTATGAAATGATGTGAAAAGAAAACTGTCCAAACACTGGCATATTCTTCTGGAGCAGAAGCCTGGAGCCTTCTTCAGGTGTGAGGAAGGCTCCACGGCCGAAACGTTGTGTTCTCTTTCTTCTTTTTTTCAGCATGGAATAAACCTATTACTTGTTCCTTTGCAGCCTACGCATGCTGACGCAGCTACCTACCTGAACTGTTATGTTTTAACTGTAATACTACTAGCTTAATTATAATTACATTTTATGTTGATATGCCCTTGTGGATTGGTACGTATTGGTCAGATAAAAATCACATTAAAACTGTACTGCTAAACGTAAAGCAGTAATTCATAAAGTAGGACTACTCTATTGCAAATACAGTAAATCTGGGTTTGGATCATCTACACATTCACTGTTCATTTTGGTGAGAAAAAGATGCCTTGTGATGGTAATTTAGTGAAACTCATATTACACAAGGAAGCTTGATAGATGCTTGAGATTACAAAGTTAAACCTGTGTTTAATTGGCCTAAATGTAATGTACATTTACATTGTGAGTGTACACACTCATGCAAGGCGCAATTTTACAAAAGCCAATTAATCTACAATATGTCTTTGATTGTGGGCGGAAAATTAAGCTATGTATGATTTACTGAATTTAAATAGACATTTCTTCAAACGTCTTCTGCGTCTCCCCTTGCCAGTTCAGGTCTTTGATTAAAGTACGTAGTACTTATTTTAATCTCTATGCTGCACTACATTGAATGCAAAACATGCAGAATGTCCTGTGTTTTAGAAACAGGAGTACAGAAACTAGATGGATGAAGTACTTGGACTGATGGTTAAACTAGTTTGAGAAACACCAATAACATATTAACAAAGATAAAGAAACAATCAAGTATCATACTTACAAATTCCATTTGAGGCCCTTGCTGACTAAATGCTCCAGACTGAGGCATTCTCCAGGGAAATGCCTGAAGTCCTTGCCTTGTTCTAAAAGTACAGACAGAGAGCTACAGTATATGAGAGTTTTTTTTTTCATTTTTAGGAATTAAACGTAGAGTATGAATTAACAGAATTATGTCTCAATTTGTAGATAAATGGGATCAAGGCTAAAAGGGAACTATATTGTTTCAAACATAAATGATAATCTGTTTCAAACAGGAATTTGTACTGCTTTACTATCTGAAAGGAAAGTCATTGTACTGTAGATGCAAACTTAAAACAAAGATACAGTAAGAAAGGGAGTTACAGCAATCCCCCAGCCTGTCCTGAGCACGTTTTCCCTAATACAAACAACAAAAAAAGATGTACAACAGTATCTCAAAATCTAATACAATGAGACATAACAAATCATTTAACATACGGTACATACAGTACAGTTATCTCACTTGTTTAAATTACCTGAAGTCTTTGAGTTACAATGGTTTCTATTTTTGTCCATCATTTTCCATTACAAAGGTTCTCATGCCTACAGTAAATCACAGCCTAATTTATTTTTTTTTCAGAAAGCTGAAAATGGATTTGTTCAGTGTACTGTATGTAGCACATTTTAACTAAAACACATGAAAACAGAAGCATCAAATCAGAACAGGTACAGGTAGCAGTTTTTTTTTTTACTGGAGAATAGAACTGAATACTGGAGCCCCATCTAAATGTAGGATATCTTATTTCACTATGATGCTTAGAATTATTTTAAGCTCAACCGCTGAAAGTGATTGAAATAGCAGTGTTGTAGATATTAAATACAGAATTTGAAAATGTTACACAAACAAAGGAAGAAAAGCTGTAAAAACAGTAAGTGTTACATGTTTACCAGACTGTCTTGGTAATAGCAAAGCCAACTTAGCAAATCCTTTCCTTTGATTCATGAGTTTAAATTATCTCCACTATTCGTTCAGAATAAAAAGCATTGCATTGGCACTGATTTTCATTTTCTTCTGCATTAATTAAAGTTATTATGATAAAGAATGCAAATGTAAGTGGTACATTGAGCATATCTAAATCTATTTATCATAAGAAGGTCCTTGGGCCCTCAAATCAAAGTCCCCATGTAGCACAGTATTTAATTGTTTACACCTTTGAGACAGCTGTGCCCATCTCAACACCAAAAGCAATTTCAAATCAAGCTATTTAGGTCAAATGAGTGCAATCTGGAATAGGGCCATACCTCTGGTAGATGCAGACATTTCTTAAGGTAACGTCTGGAGTAATCTGAAGTTTGTCCCTAAAATCACAGCCAGCAATTGATCCATTTTAATTTTTTTTTTCACACACCTTGTCTGACTACTGCGAGACATAAATGAATGAGTCCCCCAGCATTTTGAGCCTTCAGGATGCAATGGGCTTCTTTTGTTACACTACGTGAGAGTGTCCAGATGCAGTAGTGTTCTGGGGGCTGGCATCTTCACTCTGGCTACTATTTTGGGGGAAAATATCCATTGCTCCCCAGTGTTTGTTTGATTGATTCATTCACTAATGATGGTCGTTCAGTGCTGGTGGTCTCTATGTTGCCCCCTCCACCCTCCACAGCCTCAATGGGCTTTCCTTCCTTGATGTCATACAAATGAAGCTCTCCATTGCAGAGGTCCACAGGACCTGGGGAGAACTATCCAACGCTCCATACTGCTACCTCTATGCTTGTGAAGGAAGGGGGTGGACTGGGGAGGGGAGGAGGGGGGGATGTTTTTCCACATGGAAAGGGTGTCAGGGATGGGGGATTCATCAATATGCATACTGTACTGTACATTGGTTTGCAAGTCAAGCGTTACAAATAAAAGAGCCTCCGTGATATACATTTAAAGCTTGCTAGAGTATCTTTTTTCTTTTTGTAAGGGAAAGAACAGAAATAACAAGGAATCTAAATTTCCGTGATCTAAATTTACAAACAGGCCTTAAAAGCCTCGCAAAACTCAAATGAAAACTCATCTAATGGACAACTGTTCAGCCAGAGAAGCAATGGAAATAGATGATGATAATGCATTCATTGAATTCTGTTTACACCTGTTCTAACCTTCCCTACTCCAACAATGTATCCTTTCAATATTAAAATGTTCTGTTGTTTGTCTTTTATTCATTACTTTTTTGGTAGAAAATAATCTTGGAGATAGGTTGTCTAACCCTAACCCTATTCAGTGGTAACAAATGACATTCCTTATTTTGAGACTAAATTCCTCACAATGGTAGCGAGCAAGTTGAATTAATTTCAACTTGTGTTTCAAAATGAATAGGGTTGCACAAATTTCCAATGTAGACAGAAGATGCTCTGAAAGTACCTGCAATTATATATATATTATATAAAATATATTGGCTTCGTATTTTGTGTTTAAGTCCTATAAAAATCTTCTTTTCGACGCTAAAATCTTTTACATTTTCACAAATAACATTTATTACCTTACTATACTCTCAAGCAACAGTTGAATTTGTTCTTCAATCAGAGTGCTTTCTTTATACAAAACATGTAGGAACACCTCAAGATCCATATTTACATACTGTATACAGTAAAGCTGCGTCAATAAAATGAAAAACATGTGATCAATATTTTTTACAGCATTTGGTTTAACAATGATTTTTTCATTCTAAAATGTAATAGCCATAATATTTTAATAATAACTGCTTCTAAAAATATAATTATTGAATGAAATTTTCTGCAGATTGCATTCAATAAAAAAACATGATTCTTCTAAATATTGACGTATATATTGATAAATGAAACTCGTGCTACAATAAGGTCCGGGAATCCAGATGTTTGAGGTTTTCAATCTCTGATTACTGAAAAATAATGTATTCTCGCAACTGATTAAGAGAACTGCATTATTTCCATGGAATGGAAATAATGTTAGACAGTGTTGCACAGCAAAACTATCAAGCATGACAGACAATTCATGGACAAAAAAAAAGCATTGAATTAACCCTTGAACTGGAATTAAAGAACTTAATAGGAGGAAGGTATCTAGAAAACTGTAGAAAACTTGGTTAGACTCAGCTGTTTTGATATTAAGAGAGCTGGCAGGCAGCAAACCTTTTGTGCAACTCTGGTAGTGACAGGTCTGTATTTAGGCTCAGGAATGTTTGACAGCTGAACTTTTGTGATGTTTGCAATGTCCAACATATTCATTTTCAATACTGCATGTCTTTTCCTTAACGTGACATTTATTGTAACACAGGAGGCTGTTCCTGCAGTATCTGAGGGATAAAAGCACACAGTTTACACTTTAAGATTTGAGGAAGAAGAGGACAATGGCGTCTCTCTGACTGACTCTGTGGAGGGCCTTTCATAATAAACCTATTTCAAAACTACACTGAACTGTGCTGTGAATTGTTGCCTCCCTACCAAACTATCATTTCCATAAAACATGCACTGAAATGTAACAAACATAGAATTATTGATTTGACAGGGATGGATCTTTTAGCTTTTTGTGAACTCAGAGCTTGATCCTCAGTCTAAACTACTGCTAAAGAAAACAGAATTCACTACTCCAAAACACTCATCCTGTAACTCCTGGGATGCCCACGAGGGAGTGTAATTTCCAGGCAGACTCATTACATACAACAGCATGATCCCAGTTATTCACTACTCATTTCACAACCAGCATCAGTCTACTTGATGCCCATCAACTGCCCACAGGTCAAACAAGTTTCAAACCAGCTGCACTGAAACAATGCTGCAAACATACTGTACAGGATCGTATCACTCCTGGAGAACAGGAGTCACCATGGCAGGCTGAATGGGTACAGTATATAGACTGGAACATCTTTGAACATTTCTTAGATTTACACTAGGATGCTCTGGAGCATATAATTAAATTAACCAGGTCAAGTCCATCCCCCTTGGAAATACTGGTGAAGTCTTGTGATGGCATTGGAATATTCATGATATTTGCAATTCTGTGTGCAAGATATCACAGAGAAATAGTGTTTGATCATAAATATTGATCAAAGGTGGTTTTAGATGTACATAGAATATAATACATATATTTACAATGTTAGTACTGTACATATTGTATCAGACAATATACAGGCTCTATTTTAAGATTTCTTAAATAAAATATACAGTATGTACTTCATAATAATTGTCTACTGTAAATTTAGTCTGTAAAATTAGTGTAGATCAAAGTTATCTGTATAAGTGAATTTATTCCATCCTGAATAGGATAGTAATATATTATTGGACATATTGTAAGTCTAATAAGGCAAGCACGAAACTTTTTTAATACTACAATAATAAAAAATAGAGAAAAAGAACTATCAGATGCAAGAATATATTTGTGTAATAACATTTAAAACTAGAAATGTCCACTTTACCTGAAATATTCACTCAAAACTCCAGGCTGAGAAGAAAGCAGAGATGTAATCTAAAAGGCAAAACAAACTCGTTAAGCCTGAACTCTTATCACAACATGTGAAAGAAATTACAATTATAAAAATTCCTGTCAAGCTTTCAGACATTTACATACACATAACGACGATCAAAAGAGAGTATTTTCCCCTCTAATATCAGAGGAATTACTCAACTGAACAGCAAGAAATTAAAGTAAAAATTAAGTTCATCCATCACTGTTTATGAGCCATGAAAAACATTATATAGAAAATAAATCTTTCTCTGTAAGACACTTTCCGCCACAAATGCTTCACACTTCACATGCATCAAATTTCAAACACGCACAGGCTGCTCTGAAATCCAGCAAACCTTTGCAGAGTGAGAAATAAATTCTTGTATTCCTATATGACATTTAACTTTAAAACAGAACTGTTTACCCTTCACTGCTGTGCAATCGTAAAATGTATTATTATTCGCTAAACCCAGAAAATTAAGAAAAAGCAATCTTGTTCTCACAGAGTAGCACTAACTTCTTCCTTGACTTTAATCAAGGATGAAAGCAGTTAAGCTGCTTTGAATTATTTAGCCATCACTAACATTTGCAAAACAATTGCATTTGATACCACATACAAGTGGTAGTGTGCATGTCTGTTAGGCACCTTACCAATATAATTAGCTTATTTGTTGCAACACCCCACACATTTCTACAATACTGCCCAGCCCAGCCCTATTTGATGGCCCCTACCCCCTTCTAGTCAGCTTAGAGATGCTAATATTCCACAGCAAAGCCTCTTGACATTCTGCTAGTTATACTATCAGAAGCCTCCCACTGGCATGTACTGTATACAAAACCATTAGAGGATTTTATTGAGCAGAAGATCTGTAACTCCTGAGAAAAACAAATCTGCATGGTATTGCACTTCCAATAATAAATACACAATGTTATACTGTTGTAAACCTGTTGTATGTGTCCTAATATAACAGCTACAGTATGCAGTAAATGTTGTGCACAAGGAGGCAATGATGTTTAGTACACAAACAGTGTAAAAGAGAAAACAGGGAGCACATTACCATAGACAGTGAACAGCTTGATTTCCGTTCATGCAAGTCATCATGGACACCATTGTTCACAATGAGCTAATGCAGCATTTCCAGTGTGCCCTGTTTATAGGAAGATTCTCCATGTTGTTGCTCCACTAAATAATTATGCTGTTTATTTCCTCAATTAATTACTATCACAGTAGGTATTTTTTTAATTTACAGTAGATTGTTTTGAATACAGAATATGTACTTTTTAAAACACAATTGGAAATGTCACCATGAATTAGATATGCTCTTCCTCTAAAGCTCAATTCTGTAATTAAACAATTGAATAATGCAATAATAACTCTGGTGAATAAAGTTGGCTCATTGCTAATCAGTTAGTTCATTTCTCTTGCTGAATACAGACATGGCAAGAAGGTTAAAAATATGTTTCTTCTCAATTAGGAAAGCAGATTATCTACTGTACTGTATGTATTGTAGTGTTTTCATTGTCTTAAGTGCTTTTTTTCCGATATCTCAATTAATAAAACGCTCATATATTGTGCAGTGATTAATGAATTCAATTTCATTCAGACACCAGCAATAAAAAAGTCAATCATAACAGTTCTGTAATATGAAAAAAGTTTCTCAAGGGATTCACAAGACTGATTCAGAAAATGTAGATTATGCACAGCATGATACTGTATGTACAGCACAGACTGAACAATGTATAGTTCAGTGGAAAAAAAAATGTTTTCAGGTGAAGACACATTTTTGGTGTAAATCCATATTATTGTCATGAGTAACAAGGGTTCTATTAGAAAATGAACAAACTGCTTGCTGATGCTAGATGATTTTATTTAGTACTTGAAGCTATCCAATACCTGCTGTTAGCATTTAAAATGGCTTTAGAAATTCAGAGCAGTTGTTTTAAGGGGTGTAGGGACTCAGATGTACTTTGCAAGACCCTTACTTTCATATACTGTATAATATAAGACTGAGATTTCCAGAATGAATGATGCTATGGATGCTAATTGGAAAACACAGGTCAGATAGACTGCTGATCAAACATATACAAATCTCTTAGTCTTTTCATATAATTGAGCCGTAATGTGCTTTTGTGATATGGGCAGGTCACTTAGCATAAGTTTATGATGCACTCTGCCCAAAATAATGAGCTCTGGACATTTTTAATTTACACAGTGCATTACTGCTGAAATAGCACAAAACATCATTATATTGAGAGGTCTAATTCAATATGAGTAGAAAGCTACAAATGCGCTTCCCTGAAGTAATTTATCTATAATTTCCTCCTGCCATCACTTGATCATAAAACACAGGGAAAGAAAGAGTCGTCTGCAGTTCACATCTGAAAATTGCCTTATTTTAAAACTGCTGACATCCCACCAAATACAGACACTGGTTTACCTGAGCTACAACTCATTCAACAAAATACTAAAAAGAGACAATATTTTTGTACCAGCATTCTGAAAGACGTGGTATTACATTAGTTTTTGTCAGCAAGCTTGTCTGGTCTTCACATAGATTTATTCATAGTAATATACCACAGTAATATAACCAAGTAATATACCATAGGTCAACACAAGTAAAATCCTGCTGCTCACATTTAAAGATTGAAGAGGATTAGTAAATTATTTATACAGATTTGCTTGCAGTCATTAGCAAAGGGCTTTGGGTTTGACAATTAGGCTTACTTATTTTATAACAGTATAATGACAGTACTATTACCCAACTTACAGTACTGCATATAATAAATTCCATTCCCATGGCATTTTCGAAAAAATATTATAATAAATATGGGAATGACTACACAATTTCTAGTTCTTGCAACTTTGGAAAACAATTATCACGTCATTTAATCATTTTTGGAGTAAGAATATGATTTATTAGAAGTAAAGGCTTTGTGTAATATATATATATATTTTTTACAATTTTAGTTTAGTAATCTGATTGTGCTGCCTATTGCTGCCAACCAGAGTGGCAGCAATGTCTTTAAGTAAAATAATTTTTGAACTACACTATTCACCCAAATATAAGCCACCCATAAATACAGTATACTGTAAGTCGCACCCAGAAATTTGGGCTGTGGAGTAAGAAAAAATAATTTTACAAAGCACAATAGAACAGAAATGGTTGGCATTAAATTAAAATGAAAAAGTTCTCTCGTTTTTAAATAAATGATGGAAAATGGAGAGGATTTGAAACGACAAAACGAAAATAATACGGATAACTTCCTCGTATCCGGAAGAGAGGAGTTTTAGGATTGATGAGATCAAAGCAAACTGATATGCAATGTTTCATAGCCTAAAGCAAAGTGATTAGGACAACACCACAAAAATAAAACCCATTCTTCCTCTTGAAGTGCGTTATTCTGGCACTAGACACTTTAAATTCTGGAACAGGAATGGTTAGTTGTTGTGACAGTAAATCCACACCAAACTGCCTTGGAGCCTGACGTAGAGCATCACCTTCTTGAATGCAAAAGTGTTCATTATGGATAACTAAAAAATAATATAAAAGTTTATCACTCAATCACAATAACATGCCAGAACAGGCAAAATGGCAGTCCATTACAGTACGCAACATTTCAACAACAATAACATGTTCCAATTTTTACTAGATAAACTTCCATTTTTTTTTTACTTACTGTATATTCGAATATACTGTAAGTAGCAGGCCAATTGTACCACCCTGAAATCAGAAAAGAATTGGGGCTTATATTCGGGTAAATATTATATATTTACTGGATACATTTTAGAAATTCTATACGCTCTTATTCAATTTCAGGAATCTCAGAACACTGCAGTATATGTGTTTAGGGTGTGAAGAATATTCTACATTTTTAGAGGGTGGAATAGAATTAGTTGTAAAAATTATGACATCCAATGTTCAGGACTAGAAATTCTGGATAAAAACCCAGTGTGACCTTGGTTTTGTATAACCAGTAAAGGGCATGTGAATGTTCAACATGATGGCACAGCTGGAAAAGAGACATATTCTGTTACACAGCTACTATAATTAACTGGACTTTTTTTGTTGTGTGAGCTCATATGCTCACTTACCATTTTCATCAGCATTTTATATCGGAAAATTCTTCCAATTCTTTATTTAAAACAAAGAAATGTCCTTTGATCTATGGCATCAACTAAGATGTTCATCGAAAAGTGCAAAGATCATCATGAAGGCAATACACACAGAATCATTACCTGACCAGCAGCCACTGCTGTTCATATATATAAATAAATCTGTTTTTACTGTAAAATTACAGCAGCACTTCTACTTGAATTTAAGCAGACTGTAATCCAAAGCCATTTGTAATTCAGATTTTTGATTTTATTTATTGCCTCCAGAATTATTGCACACAATTTACAGAATTGCTTCTGAGGTGACGGTTATTTTTTTTCATCCTTGCAGGATTACACAACTAATAACAAGACCCTGTTTAGTCACTGTTCTCCATCAAGCTTAGAATATGATGAACCCTTGCCTCCTTGTTTAACAAAGATGTGTCTCTACAACAGTTTAAATTGCCATTTTGTGTTCAGCTCAAGTACTACAGTATTTGTTGTAAGGTTGGCTTCTGATGAAATCTCAAAAATCACTCAGTTTTGATTCGGCCTAAATTAAAGATAATGTATTTTTCACCTAATTAAATAGTGCAAAACATCTGTAGGTTGCATTGACTATTGCTTTGCATATTGAAACCAGCATATGCATATGAGTAATGAAAACCAAGTGTTAATTTATTTACATAACATATTTACATAGCTTGTTTAAACAATTGAAGGACAGTAAATTAATACTTCATAAACTGTGTATTTCAGAAACATAGAATAAAGATTCATGCTAATCTAAATTAACTTGTTTATTCAATAGACATTGATTGTTAGCTTGGCTCTGCCATTGCTACAGGTTGGTTATTGCTACAGATTTTCTGGACACCAAATAGAAAAAAATACTTTAAAAAATCATAGTAAGAGAAATCTGTAC